CAAAATAAGGAGGCAAAAAAACTAATTGTCATTTTTATATTCAGGGCATTACGTTCAAAAGCAATATGAGTTATGTTATTAACTTGTTCCTTTTTGCTTTTGGTGTATCAAATAGAATCAAAAAAGAAAAATAGACTCCATTGACACAAGAAGTCTAGGTTTTAAATATACTTTTAGGAACCCTTCCAGAAAGTTCAAAAAAGTCTTAGGAATTACTTAACACTGTAGGGTTTACATTAATGTTTTAATTTAAGAAGAGTGTTTATCAGATATAAAAAAGAAAACAAGTCAGAAATAAACTTAGGATGTCATATCATACAGTCAGTCTCATACATCTTCAAAGACTTCTAGGATAAGATAAAGTTATTGCAGATCACAAAGACAAACAAACACAAACAACAATTTTATGAAACTACTTTAAGTCACAGACTTAATTTTGTCTAATGTAATAAAATGTTAATGCTTTCTGATAATCTTAGAGTGTATATGAGCATTAACTTTTAAATGTAAAGGCCTCATAAATTTTAGCTAAGACTTTTGCATTACTTAATTTCAATAGTCTATAAATCTCAGACCCCAGTGTTTTGCTCTCACATTGTCAACCTCTCCCTCTGCATTCTTCTACTAGGCGTGCAGAGGTATAACTTAAGTAATATACTAATCATATAAGTAGCCACACCTCAAGTGAGTTGCTACATACTTAAAAAGATACAACTAGAACCCTGGTTTTCTGGAGACTACTCCCACACCAATATCGCCATAATAACTCTGTCCCTTTGTCTTCAAGTTATTTTAGACTTGTAAGCAACAGACCAGGAGGGCTTTGAATTACAAAGGCTGTGAGATGTTTTGATTTCAAAACTGAGACTCGGATGTTGTCTTTAGTTCTATACTGATGGCCATTCTAATAAGAATAAACACAAAAAGTGATATTATCCATCAATTAGCAAGTATTCAGTAAGTTTTTTTGTAAACCTACTACTATGTGGCAGACACTGTGCTGGGCAGTGAGGATAGAAAAATGAAAAAAAAGAAAAGAAAAGAAAAGAAAAGAAAAGAAAAGAAAAGAAAAGAAAAGAAAAGAAAAGAAAAGAAAAGAAACAATCTCTACTTTTAAGGAGCTTACATGACTGATCATTGGGAGCCAGAGTGGATAAACATGTAAATGTATAAGTATATACAGAGAAATGCAGGGACAAGAGAGAGCATACTCAGGAAAGGCTCTTTGTAGAACAGGGGCTCCTAACCTTTTCTGAGTCATGGATTCCTTTCACACTTTGATTAAAACTTATGGACCCCTTCACAGAATAAAGTTTTCAAATGCATAAATCAAAATACACAGATAGGATTATAAAAGAAATTTATTTGAATGGAGAGAGTTATCAGAATATTAAAAAAACCCAACAGATTCACAGACTGTGAACTTAAGAACCCCTGTGTACACTGTAGGAGGTGGTGTTTGAGTGATTTCCTAAAGAAAACAAGGGATTCTTTGAGGTAGAGGTGAGAGGGGGCCACATTGCAGACATGGAAGATGACCAGGGTATCAGCACACAGACAAGTGGATAGAGTGTCTTGTTTGAGGAAGAGAGAAGGCCACTCATGTAAAATATGAGAAGAAAAGTAATGTATATTAGTCTGAAAATAAAGTTTAGAGTCAGATTGTGAAGGACATTAAAAACCAGAGAGGTGTAAGTTTTATCCTAGAGTCATTAACCACTGTAGTTCAATAGCAGAATGACACAGTCAGATCTGTACTGTTGTAAAATCGTTTTGCCCAGCTTGATGATGATGAATGGGAGATGGGAGAAACTTGAGGCAGGGAGAAAAATTAGAAAGTCGTTATAAATAGTCCAAGTAAGGGCAAGGGGGCCTGAAATAAGGGGGTAGCCAAGTGAGTGAAGAATGGTAAGAAATATTATGGAATTAGCAATGACAAGATTTGGGGTGAGAGAATGAGAAGTTGAGGGTAAGGCCAGTGGAAAAATGGTGGTATCCTCAAAAGAAATAGGGAAGTTTGGTAGAGACTAGATTTAGTGGAAAATATTAATTCTGTTTTTGGCAGTTGAGTTTGAGATGGCTGTTGGTGATGTGAGACTTGAACTCAGGAGAGAGACTAAGAACTAAATTTATGTAGATCTGTGAGTCATCTGCATACGTATGAAAATTAGGCCCATGGGAACTGATGAAATCACTGAGAGCACGTAGAGAAGAGAGAATGTGACCCAGGACAGAGCCTTGCGCTACACTCACAGTTAAAGGGCATGATAGAGACAATGCATCTGCAGTAGAGACTGAGGAGCAGTCAGGTGGGTTGATACAATTTATCAACTCAACAAACATTTTTATGTGCAGAGTCCTGTGCTAGTAATGCCAGAATCAAACAGGATACCAATTCTTTCTCTAAGGAGTCCACAATCTATTTCATAGTAGTAAATTATTATAATGCACTGATTAGCTAATGTATATTGCTTTATTTTATCCTCAAAATAGTCCCAGGTAGTAGGAAGTACACATGGCACTAGTCTGTTTTAAGAATGGAGACACACAGGCAGATGAAAGTTAACTGATCCTAGGATAAATAATAGACCTGGAATGCTTTCATTTGAAGCAGTAGAATTTTTTGTAATAATATTGAAATACTTATTCCCTAATTTTCCTAGTTACTACTTTCAGATCTCAGTGGGCTTAGGCTGGGAGAAGTAGCCTAGAACCTGTCCTGAGTGCCAAATGTCAGGGAGTCAGGTTTGGTTTGGCTGGCTATTCAAGAATTTTAATAATATAAATGAGAATGGGACTTAAAGTCCTTCAGGTGAAGCCTATGAAATAGTTAAGGTACAAGAATGGGCAACATCCACAGGAACCTAGCCTATAACATTAGAAGTATCAGGGAGATGGCTGAGTCATAAAGATCTATGGAAAATATGGATTTATGATGGTAATTCAGAGCTACGTCATTGCCACCAGAAATTAAAAATGGTTGTCCATAACAAGTTCAGATTTAGTGATCAATGTAGATTGTACAAGGAAATAGTAGAAAGTGAAACACATCAAAACTCACTATCTTTCGTGGGTTGACAGAAAACTGTCTCCATTCTACAGACACAAAACTGAATAAATCTTGGAGAACTCAATAGACAAATTTCTACACCATTTTCACAGATTGAATCACCCAAAGCTAGCATTTATCATAAAAATTTAAGCTCATTATTTTAAAAAGCTATGCAAATGCCAAATACTTATAATCCCCAAGCTACTAGGGACAAAAGGCTTTCACAATATAGAGATCTAGCAAAGTGGATAAAAATCACATGGGAACAAAGTGAGGTGCGGGTCATTCCCTGACATCCTGTTTTTACTAAGGATGCTTTCAGCAACCTTACAGAAATCGCATTCTAATATTTTCATTCAACTATAGAAAGTAGCTATTTTATGTGCATACTCTTTGACCCAGCAATAGCATTTCTAGGGCTATGTCTCAAAGAGATCATTCAAATGAGAAAAGGACCCACATGTACAAAAATATTCATAGCAGCTCTTTTTGTGGTGGCAAAGAATTGGAAATTAGAGGATGCCCATCAGTTGGGGAATGGCTGAGCAAGTTGGGGTATATGAATGTAATGGAATACTGTTGTGCTATAAGAAATGATGAACAGGCTGACTTCAGAAAAACCTGGAAAGTCTTGTATGGTCTGATGCTGAGTGAAGTGAGCAGAACCAAGAGAACATTGTACACAATAACAGCCACATTGTGCGATTACTAATATGGAAAAACTTAACCCTTCCCAGCAATACAAGGATCTAAGACATCTCCAGAGGCCTTGTGATGGAAAATGCTATCCACATCCAAAGAAAGAACTATGGAAGTTGAATTGCTATTTCTTTTTCTCTTCTGTTGAGTTTTGTTTCCTCTTTCTGATGGTTCCTCCTATTTGGTTTTTATTTTTACTTCCAACATCACTAAAGTGAAAATAAGTTTAATAGGAATGTAAATGTATAGCCTATATCAGATTGTATGCTGTCTTGGGGAGGGTAGTGGGGAGGAAGGGGGAGAAAAATTTTAAACTCAAAAGCATATGGAAGTAATTATTGATAAATCAAAATAAATTAAGAAAAAAACAAAAAAACAAAAAAAGAAAGTAATTTTATCCCCCTCTGCAATAGAATATTAAATATAAAAGAGTAATTGCAGAGTTATTTTTCTAAGACCCTTTGTATCTGAACTACATTGAAAAAGATAGAATTAGTTTAATAATAATTACAATAGTAATAATGAGTTTAATAATAGTAATGAGTTTAATGATAACAATCACAATAATAACTAACATTTGTCAATAGTCAGTAAACATTAAGCACCTACTATGTGCCAGGCTCTGTCCTAAGAACTGAGTATACAAAGAAGAAAAGTAAATCCTGCCCTTAAGTAGTTTACAGTCTAATGGGGGGGAGGGTATAGTGGGGAGGAAGCTGAACAGAAGGAAACTGAAAAGGGGTAGCTTTGCAGGGGCATAATATTCTTGGAAACTAAGCATAGTTGCTGATGAAGAATGAAGTTACCTACAAAGCTATGAGCCCTCTATAAAGGAAGACTATAAAGGGAAGCTTCTATCTTTCCAGTCAGAGTGAAAAGGCAGCTGAGGGTCCTGAGATGTTCATTAACAAAGCTGAGTCAGTCTGAGGGAGCCTTAATTTGTAAATTGCTTAAAGATTTTCAAATTGTTTTATATGCATGTCATTAATTCTTCACAACAACTCCATGAAGTAGGTAGTCTAGGTATTGCTATAACCATCTTAGAGATGAGGAAACTGAGGTTCAGAGAGGTAAAATAATTTATTTGCTTGTAATGGTTCAGTCAGTATAAGTAAGAGGCAGATGTTGAAATTAGCTTTTCCTGACTCCAAGTCTAGCATACTATCCATGATTATACCATGTTTCTTCTGTAACCCTAGTTATTGAAACACAAGGTTCTCTGCTCTGAATTCTTCCACTTGCCTTTCAGAAGGAAAAGCCAAACTCTGACAGTAAGAAGATGCCACTACTAGCTGACCTAGAAGAAGATGGTGAGTAGTAGAAAGTGGGAATGATTTCCTATAACAGGATTGAGAGCCAGAAGGAATCTTAGCAATTATCTTGGTCAATCTCCTTTTGATGGATAAGGAAACTAAGGGATCAAGAGGCTACATGACTTGCCCAAGATCACACACACACAGAAAAAAAAAAGTATGAGGGTTGAGATTTGAATCCAGATCCACTGATTCCAAGGGTAGCTAGGTGGTGAAGTGGGTAGAATGCCAGGCCTGGAGTCAGGAAGACTTATCTTTATGAGTTTAAATCAAGCCTCAGACACTTACTAGCTGTGTCACCCTGGACGAGTCACTTAACTCAGTTTGCTTTAGTTTCCTGTAAAATGAGCTGGAGAAGCAAATGGCAAACCACTTCAGTATCTTTGCTAAGAAAATTCCAAATGGGGTTCTGAAGAGTCAGAAACAACTGAATAACCATCACCACTGATTCCAAACCTAATACCCTTTGCTCTTCACAAAGAAGTTACCTATAATTTTAACCTAAAAAAACAAAAAACAAAAACCCAAACTACAAAGTCATACAGCTCTGCTCTTCTACTCCTTGCCTTGAGAGACTCATTGGAATAGAAACAATCCACAGACATTTATTAAGTACCTGCTATGTGCCAGGCACTTGGCCAAGTGCTGGTAATACAAAGACAATTAATGAAACAGCTCTTCCTCTCAAGAAGAGTACATTCTTCAGGGGCTGCAAAATTCAGCACAGGAGTATTTATTTACTCCACTGTAGAGGGTATGGCTGCTGCTGACATTTGAGGTATTATTGCTTTAAGTAGGGGAAGCTGGGGGAGGGTGGATTGGATAGGAATCATAGAGAAGGGCCAAGAAATACAGTTCTATCATAAGCTTCAGAATACTGAGGCAAAGCAATTGCTTAACCAGCATGCTATATATTGGTAATTTACTTAATCCTCCTGCTTTTCCTTGTCATGCAACAGTATCCACCTCTTCTGTATTCTTTACCTCCATTTTTACCATCCTGTAATATGAGTACTTTCCCCATGATAGAGTTTCTATAGAAAGTTAAAGATCAGCTCTCCTAACTTCACCTTCTTTGCTCAATCCCTGGAGTCCTACAATCTGTTCGCCATACAGCTGTCGGTATGATTTTTCTTAAGCAGTCGTTACCCTACTCAACAAATATCAGTGGCTATTACCTTTGAGATCAAATATATAAACTCTTCTGTCTGGCTTTTAAAGCCCTTCACAACCTGGCCCCACCTTATCTTTCTTCAGGGACATAACAGCCCATCCAAACTGGCCCAATTATTGTTTCATCTTCCATTCCCTTACCTTTGCACTGGCTGTTTGAATCCTCAAACTTTATTTTAGAATTAGCCTTCTACATGAAGCCTTTTCTGATCCACTCAGCTCACAGAGCAGGCCTACATAACATATGGCCCATGGGTTACTTGAGACCCGCCAAAGGATTTCTGGGGCCTAAGGAAAAATAAAGGGTTGCCACTGTGCACTATCTCCTGTTTGTCACGTGACCCATGGTAACCAGCCATCATCAATCTGTCTCTAGCCTAACCTATCTGTCCCTCAAAGTTTAGCCTGTTTTAATTTTGGCCCCTACCTACTGCCCAGTTATGCAGGTCTATCATAGAACCTCACTTAAATCCAATTCACATGCAAGCCAAGACATCACCCTCATGATATCATTGGTCCCCTTCCAGCTTGAAGGACAAACCACAGTGCCTTACCCCCAAATTATCTTGTATTTATTTTCTTTATACCTATATATGTATATCTTGTATCTCTCCCCATCCCTCTCCCCTATTGTCGTCTCTTCAAAACAGGATCTTTCGCTTTTGTCTTTTTATTTCCCAGATGCTATGCCTGGCACATACCAGGTACTTAATGCTTGCTTGCTTACTGATTTTCCTTTATTTTGTGAATTTAAGATTTCTCCTCTATGAATGTTTCTTGGATAATCTTTTTAGAACTACTTCTCATGGTTGTTTTAGAACTTAAGACCCCAGGGGAGGAAATTCCTCATTTCTGAGTAGTTTCTCAATCTTCTCTTTAGCCTGTGGGTCTTAACTCTTAGGAGAGGAATCAAGGGAGAGGCAAAGAAAAGCCATAAAACTCAGACCTAACATTAGTGAAAGGCAATCTGGATGTACTGGTTGTTGATAGGAGCTATGAATTCAAGCCTCTTTCCTTAATTCAAAGCCATAGAAATAATGTTGCTGTAACTTTAAATTTGCAACTGGCAGCAGCAATGGAAATAGAAGGCTTCAGGAATGCAATAACCTAGGCATCTGTGCAGAGCTAGGATAACACAATCCTTCAATCCCGGGGGTCTAAGGCAAGGCTGTCACTTTCTATAAATACAAACCACTGAAGGAAGCCTAGGAGTTTTGCAGGTTGAGTGGTTATATGAGGAAGTAAAGAAGGGACTTGGACACTCCCACTGGAGAATGCTTGCTTTCAGAGTTGTTCATTTTTCCCTGCTGGGCCTGTGAGTTAAGGGAATATTCAAGGGCTGTGGTCTCTGGAATTTGTTACTTCTCTATAAACAAAGGCTGCTAGAAGGGAAATTTCGGGATATTGTTCAGTGCCTTGAGGGATTGGAAAAGGAAATAAAACAAATATTTGATAGGAATCACCGGAGAGATGATGGAGGGAAAATCTCTACAGGTCATTCTTAATCAGTCTCTCTTGACTTGTTGAAATGTGTGTATATATATATGTGTATATATATATATATATATATATATGTGTATATATGTATATATATGGTGGTGTGCTTATAAATGTTCAACAACTAGCTCTCTAAAAAAAAAATTCTCACAACACATTTTCAAATTTAATCTGCATCATTAACATATTGTTAAGTCTAGACAATCGACAAAACTGAGCCCTGATTTGTAGTCTGGTGATTTCTGGAGTATAAATGGTCACAGTGAAAATTTAACAATTGATTCTAAAGAACCTGTTCCAACAATTTTCACTGTGACCATTTATACTCCAGAAATCACCAGACTACAAATCAGGGCTTGGTTTTGAAAATGTGTTGTGAGAATTTTTTTTTCTAGAGAGCTAGTTGTTGAACATTTATAAGCACACCACCATACAGCCCAATTATCCTCAAACACACCTCCTGATGGATGCTATGTTTTCTGAGCCTTTATCTGAGCTGTCCTAACAAAATATTCTGGTCTCATGAATCTTCCTCTTACCAGGTTTGACATGGCAGAATGAATATAAGGGAAGTATATGGTTATAGCTGGCAGAAGAGAATATCAATGGGGCCCTACAGCTCCTCTTTTGTATTCAGGTAGCACCTAAATACAAAAAACATGGCTTGACTCTTTCTATTATTAGGTCATGGGGTACAGACATAATTGGGATTCTTGATGTTGGAGTGACAAAGAGTTGAAGACTTCCAGAACAGTTGGTTTCCAGAACAAAGGTTTAGCTTCTGTAGTAGCTTCAAAAGAGCAAAATCAGGAGGGAATATGATTAATGGAGGTAGGTAATTGATTTGTGTCACTGACATGACTTACCCAAATATCTCCTGATTTCAGGTGAGGCTAGAAGAGAAAGTTCCTTTGATGGAACTCTTGCATGATCTGGCAGGATTGGTTATGTGTATATGTCACCTATTGTACTATGCTTGATTAAACTAAAGACTTTTGCAAGGATTTGTGATATCTGACACAAAAATTAAGGAACTAGAGGCAGCATGGTACATACTGGAAAGATTTGGAGTCAGAGGATTAGGTTTGAATCTAAGGGCTGCCATTATTAGTTGCATGATCTTAGGCAAATAACTGGTCTTCTTGAAGTCTCAGTTTCCTCATTTGTAAAATGAGAAGGTCAGACTAGAAGAATTCCAATGCCACTTGAGCTGTGGATTCATAATTCCATGAGTCAACACAGACTTGAAATGTAACTCGCTGCTACCCTAAGCAGGTGGTCTACACTGCACCTATAATATAAGGTCCATTAGTTTCCTTCTCATTTTTATGAATTCCTTAAGCTTATTTGAAAATACAACTGGATGAGCTGAAAAAAATCTGTTCCTAATATGGTTTGATTCTATAGGTTTTTTGTGGCTTTGGTGGTAATCAACAAAAAAGCCAATCTCCATCTCTGTGCTACAGGGATTTATTTTGGTTTTCTCCCATGCCTGGAAGGCTCTCCACCTCAACTCTGAATATTGACTTCCTGACTTTCTTTTAAGTCCCAACTAAAATCCCCTTTTACTAGAAGCCTTTCCTAACCCCTCTTAATTCCAATGCCTTCCTATTTATCTTGTATTTAGCTTGCTGTTTCCACCATTAGATTGTGAGCTTCTCGAGGGTAGGGACTCCTTTTTACCTCTTTTTGTATCTCTAGCATTTAGCATTGTGCCCCTGGAACATAGTAAGCACTTAATAAATATTTATTGATTGATATTTATAGATTATCAATCCTGAATTTAAAATTATTCCATATATTTTCTGGATACCCATTCAACTAATCCCTACTCTGCAATTTACAGAATTTCTTGAATGAAAGTATCCTGAATAGAGAGGTGGGGGACTATAAATAGAAAATGTTGCATATGCTATTAGATTCAGTCACTTTATTGGTGATTTTCCTTGACTGTTTTTCTCCTTTATTGCAAGAGTTTTCTTTGTTGCAAGTCAGAGTGCATGTGCAGTATTGAGAAATGACTAGGATGTAGAAAACAAAAGGCATCAATAAAAGTCTTTTTTTTTTTTTTTAGGTCTGTTTTTTCCCCTCTTTTTTTCTTTGAACATCTGCCTGGAACAGAGTTAGTTATGGAGAGACAGACTAAACCCTTAGTCCTAGGGTGAGATGTGACAGTGAAAAGAGAAAATAGGTTTAAAAATGTTGCTCCAAGGTACAAAATGATACTAAATAACAGACTTTTTCTCAACTTAAAGATTCTAGTCATCTAGAGTATAATGCAGAAAAATTCCTAACTTCAGAAACCATTTTTAAGGCAGCAGGTCAGCTTCCTTCAGGTTTTATTGTTGAGGGTAAGAAAAAACCCCACATGCTTCAAATGTATTTCTGGAATTGGTTCCTTTTACCACCCAAACTCTGGGGACTTTATAGATTTCTCCTTCCTTTATATTTCTTTGTCTTCTTATAAATGCCACATTTGAAAAGCCCTAGTCAGAGAAGAAAAATGTGGCTTGACTCTTTCTATTATTAGGGCATAGGGTATAGACATGATTGGGATTCTTCACATTGGAGTGACAAAGAGATGAAGACTTCCAGAACAGTTGGTTTCCAGAACAAAGATTTAGCTTCTTAAATAGCCTCAAAAGAGCAAAATCAGGAAGGAATATGATTAGTGAAGCTGTGTATTTTATATACTCATGGAAATTAAAAACAGACTGATTCAAACATATATGGACTGATTTAAACTTTAAAGGTGGGGGGGCTATTCCCAGTAAATCAGTGGTCAAAGGATATGAACATGCAATTTTCAAAAAAATAAGAATAAAAGAGCAAGCTGTCAACAACCATATAAAAATGCTCTAAATCTCTGATAATAAGAAAAAATGCAGATTAAAATAGCTCTGAAGTTCTATCTCATACCCACCAGATAGTCAAAGATGACAATGAAAAGTTGTAGGAAAGACACACTAATTCTGGTGGGGGAGAGGGTTGGTGAAAATGATACCAAAGAAAAGGAAAGAAAAGAATATCAATGACGCATTTAAAAGAATGCCCCGAAATGAACAGAAGGAAGTTCAAAGGGAGACACAGCTTTGTAGCTGAGATTCTTGATTTCATATGCAATCGTCTCTTTTTAAAAAAATGTTCTTTGTATATATAAATGTTTATATTTGTTACTATTTGTAAGTTCAGAGTAAAAAATTACTGAGGCCCTCCCTCAGCTGAGAGGAAATTTCATATCATATTCCCGGGCTGTATACTGTTGAGCTTCAAGGTCACTATCGCAAGTTTGTCCTTCTCAGTTACATTTCTGACCTTTTAATACACATTTTCCTATTCTTTCAGGTCTTTGTCATACTGTTCATTACTATGCATTCACTGCATATAATTTTTCTTTCTGATATCCTTCATGTCTATTTCTCATTTGTTTTCATTGATTTTTTTTGCATGTTTTTACTCAATTAATTAGTCAGTAAACATTTACTAAGTGTCTATTATGTGCCAGGTACTATGCTAAGCTAAGATAGTTATCATATTTGCTCCCTTATTTTAAGATGGTTTATGATACTTTAGTAAAGGCCTCTGGATATGGGGGTGCCATACTTAGACTGTGGTCTTGATATGGTTAAGTTTCTCTTGTTGAGATAGTGACATCCCCCTCTGACCTATACCTTTTAAGCTTTATCCTTAAATATTTGTCTTGGAATCTCTGACATAATAGTATCTCAGGGTCTATGGACTGTTGGACATGTTCCCTTAACACCAGGGGGACTTGAGGAACTTGTCAAGTGTTCCAATGGCTCTCTGGTGTCGGCAGTGAAACTTTGAAAGAGAACCAGAATTCACATGTGATCACAGCTAGATTGTCTCCAGGCAGATTGATCTTTAACTCTAATTACTGTGCGTGGATGTGGGGACAGAACATAGGGCACTCTAGAAGTGTTTAGAATTAGAAGTGAGGAATCTTGGAACTTTATTTGGAAGAGTATAAAGCTGATGGCAGACTACATTCAGTTGGTAGGATTAAGGACGCATATTACCTCAAACCAGTGTTGTCTCCAATGCATAGGGAGAAATACTACATTAACTGCCCCTGAATTGAAGGGGGCTGAATGTGTTGAAAGAGGAGGTGGTATTTCTTCAGTAGAAATCTGCTTATTTTATAGTTGACAAAACTTTCTGAAGTTTCTGAAATTTGTATTTAGGGACTCAGAATTTAAATTTGTGTCACTACTCATATACCTTCTCCCTTTCTGCAGAAGAGGAGGTATTCTCATTTAAATATAGCCCTGGGAAAATGCGAGGAAACCAATATAAGAGGATGATGACCAAAGAAGAGTTGGAGGAAGAACAGAGGTAAGTTATACTTCTCAATCTGTGTGTTAAAGACCTTTTTCAGCCCTTCATGTAGTTTTGAGTATATTCAAGTGTCTGCCTTGTTCTCTCAGGACCCAAGAGGGACATGTATCTCCAAATCCTCTACAACATTCCCCTCCCCTACTTACCCGTTCTTATATTGCAGGGATTCCTTTCTATGAGCTAATCTTTTCATTTCTAATAATATTTATCCCTGAGAATTCCCTGAGCAACTTTGCAAAAAAGAGCTTCCTTTATTGTGCTAGGAGGCAACCTTTGAATTGAAGTGCAGGTCCAAGCTCATGGTATAGGTGGGAGAGTCTCTGCTTCTGGGGAGATTAGAAAACTGGGCCCATTCCTACCTTTCCCACTTCCAAAGCTTGTCCTTTCTGATTAGGTAAATCCAAGTAGCTCACATACGTGGGGAGCTCATGACAAAACCAATTTATCACTTCAGTGCAGTGCAGTGCAGGATTCTTCTAGCTCAAATCGGATTATCAGAATGTGCTCCTTCCTTCCTATCCTTACTCCACAAATCCCTCTCCCTCCTTGCCCAGTGCTATAAGTGTAATCTTTTGTTCTGGACTGGGGCACTGAGAGGGCAGCTGCAGCTACTCAGCTTTTCATTGCAGTTATTGTCCTACCCTTGGCTGAGGACCCACTGGGTACTCAGAATCATTTTGTTATTTCATTTACCTTCATTTACTCCTGCAAGGGCAACTGTGGAGAATATTCGCAGGACTTGGGAAACAATGAGAAAAACCAGGGAGGACGGTGACAAAGAAATGACTGTTTTAAAAACTCTTCACATTTTCAGATTCTGTTTCAGATTCTGTTATTCTACACTGGTGGCCCCTCCCTGTGCCCTTGGTTCATTTGGTAAAGTGAGGAGCTGTATGGTAGCTGCATGGATTCTTGGAGTCGCTAGCATCCTACAGGTGTTTGATACTAACCCCTTCCCTACCACAAACACAAGTGGGATGGAAGATTGTGTGGTTGCAATAATGCAAAACTAGGTAACTGTTTTTATTGTTTGTTAGGATGCTCTTCTTACCCACTGACCCCTCCAACCTTTCAAGTATCAGAAAATATTGTCCATAATAAACATAGTATTAGGGGTCTACTGTAGCCTTTAGCTCTCTAGCTTCCCCTTAGCAGCTCTTTCAAACTGCTACCGGCATATGTTTCTCCGTAGAACAAAATAATAAACACATCCAGAAGAGCAGCACCCCAAGTACCCTAGTCCCCTCATTAGGCCACCTTTGCTAATTCAAACTACCCTTTGCTTTCCTTCAAGTCTTAACCATGCTGCTTCTTTGGTCTTATCAGGTTTACTCCCTTTATATTACAGGATTGAGCTGACCTCTGACTTCACTTGCCTGTAGCAAGTACCTTAGTTCTGCACCACAAATACTCTCCCAAATATTTTTGGTAAGGATACTGACTTCTTAGACTAGTGGTGCTTCACTCATTGTCTGTGAATGTGTTACACAAAACTGACATGGTCTGTTTTCCCCCACTCCTTCATAACCAGTTAACAAACTTTGTCTTCCATCTGAACCTCATTTCATCCTTCATGAGCATCAAGAGTCATAAGCAAAAACAGAATATATAATCCCCTTGACAGCTGTGAATGTCGGTGGGATGCATGATGACTCAGGTCTTTATTCAGTCTTAATGGGACAGCTGGATGGAGGAGTTAGTCTGTTCTGGGACTGTTGTTTCCTAGAGAAAACAAGAAGAATCTGGAAGGCAGATGGGATCATTTCACCATCAATGTATTTTATAGGTATGCCTTGCATTATGTACACACATGCTGGTGAACCCTTTCATCCATTAGGGAGATGGTCCTTTTGTATTGTTAATTTTTTATTTTAATCCCTATGACAGCTGCATCTTACTAAAAAGCAACCACAAAGAACATTGCCACTACAGTGTACTGCAGAAAAAGTATGTTGCAACAGAGGCAAATTTTAGTTCTCAGGTCTTCAATATAAATAAATGATGAAGGAGATAAGGCAAAGTTGGTCCCTCTCTTCTTGTAAATCAGAAACAGGAGTGGCTAGATTAAAGATATCCGAGGATCATATGATTTAGCATCAGGAGGAGCCTTAGAGATCATTTAGTCCAATTCCCCCATTTTACATGACAACAACATTGCCTGAGGCTGGCTGAGCTCAAATGATCTTCCTACTATTATCAATTTATTGTAGATTGAGATTTGGAAAATAAGGTAATCTTATGGCCAGGTAACAGGAAAACCCGAATTAGGATTTTAGTAGAAATCTGGTCTTTGGGCCAGTGATAAACTGTGGGCTTATGTAAGAGGGCAGAGTGCCTTGGTTGCTTTCAGAAAGATCACATCATTGCACTCAACACCATCACCTTCTATGACTATAAGGAAAGTGATTGGTAGATCAAGTCCACCAATCATCATCTAAAATGAACTAGTGAGGACACACACACACACACACGTTTCTGTTACTGCCATCCCGATCAGCATGAACCTCACGTTTTTTTGTTTGCTTTTTGGTGAGGCAATCGGGGTTGAGTAACTTGCCCAAGGTCGCATAGCTAGTAAGTATCAAGTGTCTGAGGCCGGATTTGAACTCAGGTCCTCTTGACTCCAAGGCCAGAGCTCTATCCATGGTGCCACCTAGCTGCCCCCGAACCTCATGTCTATATCTTTTTGTCTGTAATGTCTGTTTTTCCTTTTCCCTTCCTTCCATGTGGGTGAGTAATGAAGGTGACTTTACTCCTGATGCTTCCTTGATTCCACGTTGCTCTCACTTTTCCTTCACAGCTTAGGGATACAGAGACTAATAAGTTTGGCTTTTGTCTTTCCATCTTCTACAATATGATGGTTTTGTTGGGAGTGTAGATGTCACTGCTGCTATTAGTCAATTAGTAAGCATTTATTATGGTTCTGCTATATACCAGGTACTGTGCTAGGCATTGGGAATGCAAATACCAAAAGGCAAAGTCCATACTCAAAGAACTTACATTGCAGTTATTCTGTCCTTTGCAGTCTTGTCTGACTCTTCGTGACCCTCCAGCTCATTTTACAGATGAGGAAACTGAGGCAAACAAGGTTAAGTGACTTGTCCAGGGTTACACAGCTAGTAAGTGTCTGATGATTTGAACCAGCACTCTATCCACTGCACCACCTAACTTCCCCTATATAAGTGATATGGAATAAATATAAGGAGAATAAATGCAAAGTAGTTAAATCAGGGGATTTTTGGAGGGAAGGTACCAGCAGCTAGGGGATCTGGAAAAGCTTATTGTAGAAAATGAGAGGATCACTGAAGTGAGAGCAGCAGCTAATGGCAATCATTCTGTGCCTTGGTCCTGCCTGTGCCAGAAGTACTTGTATTGCAAGGTTCAGGAGCAAAAGCAGCATCTTTTGAAAGAGAAAAGGCAAGAGTCCATGATAGCCCTTGATGAGAATCCATTGATCCCTACTGAGCTCTGCAGGGAGCCCTTGATCCTTGAAAGGGTGCCGGGATGATGAGTACAGATGTAGAAAAGCTTAGAATCATGATTACCATATCCCAAGACCCCAGCTTCCAGTTCAAGATGTTGAGCTGAAGCTGCTGTTTCCTGATGATTCTGTCAATGAGCCAGTGACAACATAAAACAGGTGCTCTGACTTATGCCTGCAAACACTAGAGCCATAGATCTGTTGCTGATGTATGAGCGACACCAGTTGGCCTTACTGTGGGCCACCTGGTCCCACTGCATATTAGACGCTGTGTAACATGGCGGTGTTGTGGCATGATATCTCTGACCTGAACACAGCCTCAGAGGCCCTGCCTTACCTTATCCTCCATGGTCTTTCTTCCTGAGTAGCTAGCAGCAAATTTCAAATATTCTCCAATTCCCTTTCCATGTAAGAATGACAAAGCAACCATGTCATCACCTTTGCCAACCAGGCATCTTTTTGCCATCACATATACCAGAAGCTAGATTTTTTTTTTTTTTTGCTTTTTGGTGAGGCAGTCGGGGTTAAATAACTTGCCCAGGGTCACATAGCTAGTAAGTATCAAGTGTCTGAGGCCGTATTTGAACTCAGGTCCTCCTGACTACAAGGCCAGTGCTCTATGCACTGTGCCACCTAGGTGCCCCTCAGAAGCTAGATTATTATACAGTGCAGCTGATGTAAGTGAGGCTCAGATTTTAGATGAAGTTGCACATGATCCACTTGGGCATGCTTGGAAGCCACAGGAGACATGGGATGGTGTTAGCACCCATATACCCACACAGCCTACAAGATGACCTTTCTTCAGTATGCCTTCCTTGACTGCTTCCAGGAAAGAAATACAGAGCTATCCCATGCACATATTCATAGGATCATGACAGGGACCCAGGGGGAAGTGACCCTGTCTGAGGAGTGACCAGCTCTAGTAGTGTGTCTTTGGTAGAATAGATCTGATTGATGTTTTTATGGGTCTATAGTTAGGGTATACCCACTAAAACATGTGAAAGAAGGAATTTGGGGTCTCTACCCTAAAAGGAATAAGAACTGAGATTTCTGGGGATGATAGAAAATTATAACCCACTAAGTAGCGCTGAAATTCCTAGAAAGCTCACCCATCTCTTGCTCCCCCCCCAAAAAAAAAAAGAAAAGAAAAGAAAAAAAATAAAATGGTATTTGAGCTAAGCTGGATCTTGAAGGAGGAAAGGGATTCTGTGGGTCTGAGGCTAAGAAGGAATGTATTCCAAGAGTGGAGGAAAACCAGTTCAAAGGCACAAAGGTGGTAGGTGGAGTGTCATGTGTAAGAAACAGAGAGAAGGACAGTTTGGCTGGATTGTAGAGTGCATTAGATGGAGCAAGATACAATGAGACTGGAAAGATAGATTGGGGCCAGTTTGTGAAAGGCTTTAAAAGTTAAACAGAGAAGTTTATATTTTAGACTAGAGTCAACAGAGAGCTACTGGTGTTTGAGTAGGCAGTGACGTGATCATTCTGTACTTAAGGAGAATCACTTTGTCAGCAG